AGAGAGAGAGAGAGGAAATTAATTTGAATTCAATTCACCTCCATTTAATTCAATTCAAATTCTAATTCGATTCAATTCAAAAGACTTTATTTCCACTAAAAAACGAACAAAATACATGTGATATAGTACAGACAGTTAAAAATATACAAATCATGAGCATTACATGTTAATTTAAACAAACTGTGAAATAAAAAAGGAAAAAAGGGGCACTGGAGAAAGCTTGTTTTAGCTTGTTGATTCAGGCGTCCAAATGAATAAAATAATTACACAGATATAATAACATAACATAACATAATAACAGAGTATTGCGCATGGTTTCATCTACCCCTCCCTCCTCACTACCCCCACCCCCTTTTCTCTCTCTCTCTTATGGTAATTTACAATATTATATTTTATTTAAAAATAGGTATTGAAATAAAACAAATTAAAGGGATAATAGATATATTTTAAGATTTTGCTTGAAGGAGTTCAAGTAAACATATTGTGTGACAGAAGATGGAAAAGAGTTCCATACTGTGGGCCCCGTATATCTTATCGATTGTTGCATGTACTGTTTATCAATAATATTCTGTAACTTTAGACTAATTCGAGCATTATATTCATGAATTTTAGAGTCAGTTAGGAACATAGTGGCAAGAGATGACAGTGTATTATCTTTGATACATTTGAAAAGAAACACAACATTTTGATATTTATCTAAGCTATAAATATTGAGGGCATCTAATTGTCTAAAAAAGGGTTTAGACTGGCAAAATAATTAGAGTTTGTATAATATCGTAGAGACGTAGACAACGCTTCTGAAGGTAAGGTAAGGGTTTGAACTTAGAAGAACTTGTATTTTCCTACACGATGTTTCCATATGTCAAATATGAAAGAATGAGTGAATTATAAATCATAAACAATACATTTTCTGGTAAATAATACTTCCGCTTTGACAATAACATGTAGTTTTACCAATATTTGCAGATATCAAGGCAATATGGGATTTCAATGACAGTTTTTCATCTATGAGAATACCTTGCTATAAATTATTGAATATTTCAGACTTTTTCAATAATTGTTTGATCAATATATAATGGTGGAACTTGATTTGTTAATTCTCATTTGTTACACTGAGCTGTTCTAAAAAGTATACATTTGGTTTTGTCTAAATTAAGCGATAGTTTATTTGCCTTTAACCACAGAGATACATTTTTCATGTGTTCATTAAACTGGCCTATCAGTGAGTATAAATTAGTATGGCTTAAGAACAAAGAAGTGTCATCAGCAAACTGTACACATATATAAAAGGAAAAAGGGGGCCCTAAATTTGACCCTTGTGGAATTCCAGATTTAATTAGTCATCTGGTAGAACTGTATCCAAAATCAGTAAATTGGTACCTTTGTGAAAAATAACTCTCAATCCAATTTAACGCAATACCTCTAACACCATAATTAACTAATTTCTTAAAGAGAATGGAAAAATCAACGGTATCAAACGCCTTACTCAGGTCCATAACGACACCAAATATAAACTGTTTTGAATTCAAGGCATTAACAATGATATCGTGAACAGAAACTAAAGCATGGTCAGTAGAAAAATGGGTTCAAGATCCAATTTGATTATAATAAATAAATAATAATAGTGGGTTCTTGTATAGCGCTCATGTTAGTCATGTAATATCATGTAATATAATGTGTTTAGATACACATTTGTATGTTCCATCATAGCCTATTCTCTCCTTGATTTTTGAGAAGCATGACAAAAGAAGTACAGGACGATAATTACCAATAGTGTGCTTATCCCCCTTTTTAAAGATAGGGATAGTGTTGGATACTTTTAGTTGTGAAGGTACTATTCCCATTTAAGGAAAGAGAGAAGGAGAGAGAGAGAGAAAGAGAGGAAGAGGGAAAGAGAGAGAGAGAAAAAGAGAGGGAGAGGGAAAGAGAGAGACAAAAGACGCAGATTAATTTCATTTTGTGTAGGTTTACGTATAATTAATTTTTTCAACGTGTCAACGTTTGCTTTTTTTTTTCGGCAGACTCGCCCTTGGACAATTTTCCTCATCATGAAGATGATTCTGCAACAGGTGTAACCTCCTAATTGTTTTTAAATACAAATATTCTAAAAAGGCCTTGACAACAAATGAAAATAAGAATATAAACAAACAGCCTTATGAATTCTTTTTGACGTTATGTGCCGAGGTAGTGAGGGTGTGTGTGTGTGGGGGGGGGGGGAAGGGATACACTTATTATCTTATATTATTTGTTTAAGTACCATCTTTAGCCACGTTTTATGATCCAATGGAATCTGAATGAACGTAGAATAAAGAATAGAAAGGAATAACAAATATATCCCTAGTCAGCAAAGCACAAAAGCAAATAAAAACCAAATTTTCCGCAGCCCTCGAAATTATGGGCCAACAGGGTTCACATTTTCCGCAGTTACCGGGTGACGAAATAACAACTGGTCCCTATCGGCTCGTCTATACACGAAACCGAGAATTATCGATGTTTTAAAATAACTTAATCATAAATATAATTGATAATTGACACATGTGGCTGATCGTTAACGAAATGGAGTTAAGTCTTTGGTCAACTGTTTGTTGCTACGGCAGGCAGCCAGTGAAAACGAATATGTTTAATCAAATTATGGAAATTCAAGCAATGCTTTAAACAAACAGAACTTTGTTATTCCTGACTCATTTTTCCTGATTGAGGTGTCATTATGAAATGGCAGAAACTGAAATGTCTAGAAATGTGATTTTCTCTTTGAGATTCAGATACCGCCCGCCAAATGACTTGTTGGTACCCTCTCTTCAAATTGTTTTTAATCACTCATGCGAGAAATATGAGGAGGATCTAAGCTTTACAAATAAGTGTCATTTATTAATTATAATTGTGATTAAGTTATGATAAATCATCGATAATTCTCGGTTTCGTTTTTTCTCGGACGCACTACTACATAATATATATATATATATATATATATATATATATATAGGCCTATATAGCTGAAACATGAGCCGTACGTCTAAGTAATGCAAAGTCACTGTGAATATGCGTACTCTACGTAACATGATGTCAACAAGTCGATAAATAGTTTTTAGGTCGACAGCTTTCGATTTTCACTACTTTAGATTTCGCATTTTCAGAGACCTTCTACTCCTCTGACAGGTAGTAAAATCCCATATAATTGATGTTATTGTCGTCTATGGCTCATTAGTTTTCCATTCATATACAATTCATCTATTTCATTTTCTAATGGGATAAGGAGCCAACTGAATAATAACGGCACAATTTGGAAGCAATAATCATTCAGGCTTATCACAACGGACATGTAATTATAATGAGGGCTTCTATTTTATAAACTCCCTTTTACACGACGCATGGTTTTGTCTCATTACGTACAGGACCGTTCTACAGGTTGCCACCACATTATGAAATGTATGTATATATATATATATATATATATACGTACCATCTGGAACCTGTTATCGTTTGTGTTAAATATTCTAAAATTAATTTAGTAGTTGGATCAGAAGTTGATGTTTAACAAAAAGTGTCGCAGATCACTGAGTATAACATGTTATGTACATGCCACCCCCCCCCCTTCTCCCCCACGTTAAGCAGTGAATATTTCTAAAAATACCCCGGCCTCCCCACAAGCTTAATACTTTATATATGAATTCCTTATATATGAATGGCTTTCCCACACAATAGTTCTTCGTATAATGAAATAATAATGGTTTTAATAGTTACAAAGCGTCATATTTCTGACGACTCTAATAATGTGAGCTACATTGATAGACAGTTTCGTGAATGATAACACATCAAAAGGAATATGTAGTAATCGATTGATGTTAGAAGTTAGCGGTGTCGTGGTAAAGTGGATACGTCACTCGACTGTAAATCACATCGTTCGTGGTTCGGGTCCTACTGCGGCACTAATGTCCTTTAGTAGATAATGTTTCTACATTTGCCAGCCTCCACCTAGGTGAATTAAATGGGTACCCGTAGGAAGAAATTACTTGAATGCTTTAGCGCCTGTGGATGAATACCAGTAATACTTCAGAAATTCATAACTTTTCCTATTTTCCTCGATCCATTTCTCTCTCTCTCTCTCTCCCTCTCCCTCCCTTCTCCTCCACTCTCCCACCCCCTCTCCCCCCCCCCTCTCTCTCTCTATCTCTCTCCATGTCTCTTTCTCTCTCTCTCTCTCCCTCCCGCTCCTTGTCTTTCCTTCTCTATTCACCCTGTTTCACTGTAATTTATTGCCTTCATCTGTAGACGTCAATTCTGCTCAAATGGATGTATAAATATAGATTTATAAGGCGCATATTGCTATGTTGGGCAAGCACACATCTAATAATGTGCAAATGTGTCCTGCGTGGCCAATCAACAAAAGTATTTTGCGTTCCTGAAAAAAACGAAACCAAAAATCAAAAGGTTATTGCAACAAATTATGAGCTGTGTTAATAAGATGTTATGCTTTTCATAAAGTAGCAGTAACATGCTTTTATATGATACATTGATCACATTAATCCATAAACGCTTTACTTACCAACATTGTAAGCAATAGACCACGTCAACATCCATTTGTGCCAGATTTTAGATCATACATGAACATGACCTAAAGGAAACAGATTGTTTTGTGCAAAATGAATGCCATCATCATAAAGTAAATGAACAAATTTATCGATGATGAGGGTATTAAAGAAGAATTTTTTTGTGTGAATTGTTATGAACAGTGATTGTCGTTATGGTCTTTATGGTCGTTATTCTCCCACTTAAAAGCATTTTCAAGCGCTTTCAGTTGAGGGAAGTTCTAAATTAGTTTTATCTGTCAAATGCCGTTGGAATTTAACCTTTTCATATTTTTGGCCTGCAAATAGAACATAGTATCTTTAATAGACGTGATAGAGTAATGTGTTTAGTGTAATAATAATATGCCAGTCTCTTCTCACCCCAGACACCTTGTAAATTACATAGATTACACCATTTTCTGTTCATGTAGGATCTGTGGAATTGCCTCTGGTGGAAGAAGGGTGCCCTCAAGCATGGGAGCTATACTAAAGCTAGTTGCAGCCATCGCTGTGGTAGTGATTGGTGCTCAAACAGTCAGAGTATCAGGTAAGATCACCATCCCGATCTTTTATGATTGCGGTCTCCTGCACTTTTCCAACAGAATAGTTCGGATAATACTTTTAATTTATGATAATATGTTATGGAAATAATAAGTTTCGTTATTATATGTACATATATTATGTAAAAAAAAACATTTTGACATGAAGAAATTATTGTTTGTTTATGTTGTATTATACCTTACATTTATATGTTCTTTGTAATTCAGTTATATTGTATTTGGAAAAAATGCAGAAAAAAAAAAATATATATATATATATATACGGAGATATAAATATATTCTTCTTTTTTGGGGGGTCGGGAAAAGAGGGATTTATTGTATGAAGCTCAGTAGCTTTAAATGAATGGTCAATGCGAGTGAGCGAAGTGAGAAAGCTTTTGCTCCGGGAATGTAGAGGCAAAAGCTCTCATCAAAGCATTTATTGTTATAGCGTCTTTTTCAAAATGGTTGCAACGGGCCTTCCAACGGGCTTGTTAGGTCCTGCAAAGGGACACTCCTTCGGCTCTGTCTATCAGAGGCGGCGATCCCGGGGGACGGGGGGGGGGGGGAACACATCCCTCCCTTATTTTTTTTTAGGGGGGATCATCTCTCCCCCCCCCCCCCTCCCCGGAAAGTGTGAAAAAGTAGAGACAAAAAGGAGTAAAGCGAATACTGTCTAAACGCTGCAACAAACTTTTAGGCTCTGGAGTGCCCAAGAGCGCAGCGTTTAGGCTAATACAAATATAAAAATCTTCTAGCTCCCTCGCATAATATCCTTGAAAGTGTACAAGTAAATATTGTAGAAAAGCGAGGTGTGAAACAAATATATTGCTTGTTTTTATACCATAGTTTGGCTAAGGCATGTAATTTGTTAATACAACAAAACTTCAAAAACCTGTGAGGGGGTAGTCACTTCTGTCACCTTCACCACTCTCGTTCACTATGCTTCCTCACACTGGCCATCTTAAGCGTGCAGCAGATAGGCGATTGAGATAGCAATATAACGTTTAAAAACGGCCAAATTTGTTGACGGGGGGAGGGGGCTTTAATAGTAGACGCATTTTACATTTAAAAGAATGGCATTTCTTCAGAACGAAGAAATGATTCCTTAAGTTCTTCGATAACATCACTCAGTCCGATTTGATCCGAGAAATATCTCATTAATGAATCAGTGTCAAAGCTAAGTTAGTCTCAAACAAACCTACACCATTAAAATTGTTCAAATGAGAGAAAATGGGGCTAAGGTAATGACTTCAATGATAGATGTACAATTAAAGATAATCTTGGAGTTTCAAAAACAGACCCTTATTAATGATACAAATTGGGAAAAATGATCTGATCGATTTTTTAAAATCTCCCAACTCTATTATTCCAATTTAATTACATATAAGGTGAAAGAAAATTGTCACAAAGCAATACATTTGCTCTATATACCATTCCAGACATTTAAGTGTTGAAAGATTTTTAAAAGCCTGTTATAGCCTGTCTTATTTTCTTGGAAAATGGTTGGAAAATTCAAAAATGGTGTGGAGAATTTTCTGTTAGAGGGTGTCGCACAGTGAATTTTTCTTGTTTTGTTTGCATGTTAGAGAGTTAGTACATTAGAAGGAATATAATAAGTAACATTTCATACAAAACTTACGCAGTTTTTTCATCAACCTTCATCAATGTTACCGAGTCACTTTAAGCCAGATTGATATTGTTAATTTGTTCGATAACATCATTCAGTTTGATTTGATTGGAGATATATCTCATTTAACAGTGTAAAGGATATATAGTCTCAAACAAACTTACACCATTAAACTTCAAGCTCATTAACACATGATATATTGCGACACTTTCAAGGCTACTTATTATGTCAAGTATATACAAGCGGCAACAGCTTCAATATAAAACGTCAGTTTTTCTCACTTAAATCATTGGTCTGGAAACAATTATTTGCCCATTGTTGTATATTATACAAAATTTTTCATGACGATGAATATACATTGTAATGCAATTTTCAGAAAAAGCATACTTGTCATTTGTTATATTTGGTATATGATACTAAAGCAAATCGTTACGCCTATCGATAGGATAATGTGAAGTACGTGTCAAATAATAAATCATTACGTGCTATTATTAACCGGACTAGACAGTTTAAAATGTATATAACATGTATACTATTGCCAGCAAGTAAGATTTTCAACAAAGAATTCAGAACGCCAAGGGTGGAATAGAACTGTTTCATTCCAAACCCTGGTGTTAAATAACACCAGCTGGTGTTGTCCGATATAGATACCGGGAAAGTGTTACAATTTACACCCATGGTGTTGAATTTAACACCCTCGTTTTTGCAGTGTAATATCATTGTATTTATTGCATTATTGTAGTTGTAAATTGACCCCTTCAGTTAGCCTATGATGCACATTAGTTCCTATAAGTTCCAACATTTGGTAGAAAACGACACGTTGAGTTATAATAATGTAGTTCTATGTGTTAAGACTTTAATACCCCTTTGCAACCTCCTATAGGGTGGACTAGCTTTGATAGAAGGTGTATGGGGGCCCTACGAGGAACATATGGAAACGTTGTATCATCCGCTCAATCTGATTTGCGTGCATAGAACAAATAAGCGTTTTTCCATGAAAAAGTGAAGTTTTCTAAAATGTGCGTTTCTTTCCAGCATTGGGGCGCCCGGAAGTCACTCGGGTAACATTTCGTAAAGTATAATATAAAAAGACCATATGCAAATTTGTTGTACTTTTGTCGGAAAAATTACATTTATCCGGCACAATGTCGTCTCTTTTTGCGTTGGAGAAGAGCAAATAGCGAGTTTCAATCACACTTTGGCCGCTCTCGCAAGCTCTCACTCGTTTCACTGTGGTCAAGAGACTTTGGGGCAAGCGGTTAATGAAAATATTAATCGGTAGCTTTTTTTTGGTATCAAACTTGTTTTGATTGATTGTATAATTTTGTCGGAATAAAGGAAACAAAAAGGCTCGACCAATAACTTATCAGCGGCTGAATTGACCTTTTGACCTTGAATTCCCTGATGCAAGCGCACTAATGACGTCATCTTCGCTAAATCGGTGTCTTTTATCGTAAAATGCGACACTTTCACAATGTTTATACATCTTTTTTTAATTATTAGTAAGATATAACATATTTTTTTCTGATATCATTGAAGCTTTTGGTTTTTTTTAATGAGTAATTTTAAAATAAGAGCCAATTTACTGTTTTATTTTACTGGATCGTACCATTAAAGTCGCAGGGTAGAAAGATGCATTTTCCAACCGTGCCAAAATTAATTTACGTTCCGACATGCTGTTAAATGGGTTCGTGTTGTTAAGAATCCATTGCTTTCTGCTCCAACAAACGTCCACATGCGGAGTCGTTTATCAACTAAATTATTCAAATTTATGGATGCTTCCTAGCTTCCCAGGTGTTTGTGTTGGTGTTGTAGCATTTCATTCACCTGTTATCATTCTTTGTACTCCAATTGCCAGAACGCAAAATGCAACAAGTAAGTCAATAAAAGAGTATGTTCTGCACAATATAAACAAAGTGTGTCCCTATTGTACAATGTAATGTGTCCCCTCATTTTGTAATAGTTAATTTACCTATTCACATAATGGAACTACCTGCCCGATGAAGCCAGTGGCCTGTGACCCCTGAGCACTGAACACCGTGTGGGAGTCAGTTCGTGGTCAAATTCTTTTATGAGACAAATACAAGCAAACGTTTCCATATGGGTCGCCGTGGAACCGCTATACGGCATGGGTATGGCGGGTCTAATCGCTACAGCAAACCTAGAAATGAAAACAATTATAACTCCGCGTTATAATCTCACGGCGACCCTTGCGGCCTGTAAAGATAGGGAAACGCCCTCTGCGGCCGCTTTTGGGGGCGTACGGCCGCCGTATCCTAGCCGTAAAGCAAATGCGACCTAGGCATAGATAATGACGTATATCCACCTACGTACCTCTCCCTCTCTCTGTATTGTTTACCCGTTCTCTTTTACCATCACAGATACTCTGTATGTAACCATGAAATAATACATTTCAGGGGTGGATCTAGCTTATTGCCAGGGGGGGGGGGGGGGGGTTGACCCAGATCCAAGATTTTCCAAAAATTGCGCTGTTTTACTGTTTTACTTTTCTTTTCTTTTTTCTTCTTCTTTTTGCTCCCATTCCCCCACCCCTTTTTTTTTCTTTACTTGGCCGCCCAAGGGTGTGGGGTAGGGGGGGGGGGAGGGAGGGAGGCAAACCGCCGAAACCCCACCCTAGTTCCGTCCCTACATTTATTAAACTAATTTTTGTTAATTAGACAGAATATGAACTCAGTGTACATGTATATGTAAATGAGAATCCAGTAAGAGGATTTCATTATATTGTTTGTAAGTGTACTAGTGCTATATAATTAGTGCAGCCTAAGACCAAAGAGATACTAGATTACTTACTAGTTCTGTGAAGATTGTAAGGAGTTGGAAATATAAAGTTGCTGGAAAAGTTTTCAAGCTCAGTAATTTTCCTGAAAAAGGAAGTTTGGGATTGAAGTGATGCAGATGACTATTGGAAAATACATGAATAGTTTCGGAAGTGTTATGAGTGTTACGACGGTAAATGAGCATTTGGGAACAATGCTGGAAACCAATTTTAGGCGTTGCTCCTTCTGTCTATTGGAATTTATTGGTTGTTCATCAAGAGTATTTTTTTTAAATGTACATTTGTCTATCTATAATTGTTTATTTATTTATTTAAATATTTTTCATTAGCATCTACTTCTATACTTATAAATTCATTTAAGGATGTACTTATCTATCAACGTATTTATCAATTTATTCATTCTTTAACTCACTTTCATTGCAGCATTACATGACAGATGTCCTCATGTGACCGTATCATGTCGTTTAATCACTCTGGAGAGCGGTGAGACTGTACAGTTCATCCCGAAACTCGTGCAACCCGATCAAAAGTGGTCAAAATCCGACCTCCCAGCAGGCTACCTGATTCCTGATGATGTCCGGCGTTATTATTGCACAGAACCAGGTAGTATTTTCATGCAAAATTTCCGAAATAAGGCGGCACAAAAAAGCGGGGGGGGGGGGGTGGGGAGCAGGGAGGCCTCGTTTTTCCGAAGGTTCATAACTGCAAAGTTTCGTACTTCCGAAAAATGAACTTCTCTATATCAGGGGTTCATAATCACAATGGTTGAAAGAGGGTTTATGATTTCGAACATTTGCTGCAATATTCCAGAGGTTCGTTTAATATCCGAATGTTCATAATCTCAAAGGTGTAAAAGGGTTCATTATTCTGAAAATTAAGAAGCCTCGGTATTCGGAAGGTTCATAATTCCGATAAACGATGCACTGTTGTACCTCATTTTCGGAATTACGGATCCTATTTCATTTTCGAATATATGAACTATCGGAATTTCTTTTTGTTATGACACCGATCAGAACTTGTGGATTGCCCTACGGGTTCGTTTTTTCGTGCCATGCCATTTTCAAAAGCTTCTTCTGATCAATTTTTTCAATTTTTTTTTCAACTTTTAAAAATGTATGTTTCACACGATACCTGATGAACAGGAGAGGCATATCAACTCAAACTTAAACTTTCAAATGGACAGTTGACTTGGTAGCCTATATTTGTACTATGAATTCGTTTTATTGAAGAAAACTGAATTAAACATTGTTTCGAACTTACGTTAAATAGTTTATTGAAGGGGCCTTTTGACACCTAAACGCTAGTTGTGTACAGGAAAAAAGGACATTGATTAAGCCTGCCTTAAACCCCACCCCAACGAAAAAAATCTAGTACAGGATGAATAACCACATATAACAAAATTAACTAAATTTAACTAGATTTGAACAAGCCACCATTGATATATCGTTTGAACAACCGGGTAAAAACTTAAATAAGTAAAGGAAAGAATAAATAATAAATAATGATACGTACGGAAATAAATGTCGACCCTAATTGAAATCACGCCCACATTAAGTTCATTCAAATTTTTTGTTGGAGCACATATCATGTCGCATATAAATACAAAACCGCCGACCGAACAACCTGCTTTAATATTTTGAAACTTATGACTAATGCGCACGTAAAAGGCGGTGAATCCATTTCAGTGTGATATAATGATGTATAAATTTAATTTACTGAAGTGTATTTGCTACTTGCACGTCTCTGCGGCGGTAGCTGTTCTACGGGGGGGGGGGAGGGGGGATTCTTGAGGGCTCAATGATGACGTAAAGATAATATTTGTTAACCATATCCATCAGTTCATATGATACCGAAATCAGCATGGAAGGATCACGCATTAATGAGCAGGTAGCTTAATTTGCAATTAGTTAGGAACATATGCCATTTTTGTTTTAGGAAATGAAATAGGCAGTTGAACAAATGCACTTTTGCTATATACGCAATACAACAATTGTGCCTGCTCGGTCCCAGTGTGATTCTTCCTTTAAGAGCATGTGGAAGAGGTGTATTTCCATTTATAATTAATTCCATTAAAAGCCAAATGGACCGAAATGTAGCAGGAAGTCACTTATTTTGGACAATTGGGTTTCGGACACTTTTACTTCAGACTGTCTAAAATCGTTAATGAGTGATTTTGGTTCTGATGTCATATAAACGAAGAGGAAATGAGCTTCCAGTGAAGTACAAGCTATTGAAAAATTACTTGGAATTCTTTAGTAGTCTTCTTTAAAAAAAAAATGCAATTGGATGGGACACGAACCCTCGTGTCCACTGTTACTACCAATATACGTCACTGTTTTGTACATGTATGTATGTATATAATGTATTAGACCTTGGGTTATTCACTTTTCTCATCCAAGTTTTTCCCCCTGTGTTATTTCTGTCACCAGCCTGCCGCTCTAACCCTTGTTTTAATGGAGGCAATTGCGAGGAGACGGACACAGGATTTACTTGTCTCTGCTTAGATGGCTACCGTGGTGAAAGATGTGCAGAAAGTAAGTGAGACAAAGGGAGGTGCATGTTGTTGTTTTATGTATGGGGGTAGGCCGGGAGACCCTTGTACAGCCAGGAAATCTTGATGAGAGCGAGCATGGTAAGGTAAAAGGGGTAGCATGGTAAGATAAAAGGGGTATCATGGTTTTTGTCTCGCCTGCGTAGCAAAAAGCGAGACAAAGACGTTGCTTTTCCAGTGACGGCGACGGCGCGTCAACATCAAACTTAACCTGAATGTTTAATATAGTTTTGAAAGTATAAGTTCTTTTTCAATAAAGGATTAAGAAGTATCCCCATTCATGTGAGGAAATTTCAGGTCACTAAGTGAAGGTCAAAGTTCATTTCCGGTCTGCAAACTTAGACATTGTTGCAGCATCAACATCAAGATTTCGAATATTTAGCATAATTTCTAAAGTATAAATTCCTATTCCATGAAACTGAAACATAAGGGCTATCAAGTATCAACAATCATTTATTTAGTCTTTTAGGTGACAAAGTCAAGGTCAAGTGTCATTTCAGGTCTGCAAACTTAGATTTGTTGTGGCATCAACACCAAGATTTTGAATTTTTAGCATACTAATTTCAAAAGTATTTGTTCAAATTCTAAGAAACATGTACCCAAGGGTTATCAAGTATCTCAAATCAGATGAAACTTGGTCACGAGGTCAAGTTTAAAGGTAATTTGAGGTCAATAGACTTGAATTATGTTTATTCACAACTAAATATGAGAATTGATAAATCAATTTTTGTTCATATTTCATGAAAGTTTTTAATCTTGGTACAAATAATAGTAAACAATTCTTCTGATGATTCTTAGTCGATATTCACTTCAAAATGCTGAGAGTATTCAGAGGATTTCATATTTTGGGGCTTTTTAATTGGCCATCCTGCCTATAAATAATGTTCAAACCTCAATTTGTCACCATATCGAAATGCGTAATGCAGGCGAGACTGCCGAGAGCGTTTCCCTTGTTTGTTGTTAAGGTCTTCATGGAAGGTTTGAGGAGTGTCGGTGAAAAAGAGGCATACGCATAGTTTTTTTGTGAGGGGGTGGGTGCAAACCCTTGTTGAATCCTTGTCTATATACACATGGAGGTTCATGTACTCATGAGCAGGCACGTAGCCACGGGGGGGGGGGGGCACGGTTTTTTAGACCCCTTTTTTTTTTACCTCGATCGATTACATGTATGTGCCCCCCCCCCCCCAAACATCGAACTCTGGCTACGTGCCTGCTCTTGAGGAGAGCGATACAGGATTTACCTGCCTCTGTTTTGTAGGCAATCATGATATACATTGGGGAAAAGTATTGGCTAAGTATACAAAATACGGTCAAACCAGTTTATAATTAAAAGTGGCCACTTCTCTAAAAACATCACCTGTCTACAGTCGCCATGTAAATATGATGTAAATATGACACGGTCAATTTAGCGCCCTACGCAAAACCAATTTGTATATCCAGGTTTGATGGGAGTGCTGAGAAAGTTACATATTTAATACATTTTACCTCTCCGTAAAGTCTTGTTTAAAACTTGTTTTACCGAGTAACTAAATGAGTTCAATTTTCTTTCTTTTTCCCCTCAACATATCTTTCTCATATTGATTGTAAACTCTATAGATGTACCCATCTCCTCGTTAAAGCTTCTTGGTGAAAAGATAAATGAAGGAACACTTTCTTTAGCGTCCCACTCCAGTCCTAACACGTACGTGCTGGTACATCAAGATCTTTGGAACAGGAACTTATCCCAATTGGCATGCCAGTATCTAGGGTTTGAAGGTAAGACATTATCAATATCATCTTTTAATAATGGCCTTTCATTTTTTTCTATTATCAGCTATTCTTTAAAGACCGTCAATACTACTGGGCTAGAAGGGATTAGACCACCCAGCCAGGTCACTGACAGGTGGCTATCTCATCAACTCAGCTCTCAAATAACATAAGAAAAAGAGGATCATTGGGGACCAACAGGCACCGATTGGGGAAGTTTTCTAAATAGAGGGAGCAAGTAGCTACAAGTAGGACAGTGGGGATTTAAATAGCTGATTTCATTTTTCGTTGCAAGTTTGTCCAGGCTTTGCAAAGTATGTGAGCCATTGCCTTCCCCTGGTTCTCTTTTCAGCAATCTTCCCTGATAATATATAAATATTTTTCTCTACATGTTTCCTTTCTGTATGATCATGTTACCAACAAATTGCATTTTCCTCTTTCTTATTGTGTTGATGAATCTTGGTTTTCTAAACACTTCTTCATTTGTTATTTTTTTCATCATGTTATATTCATAATCTTACTTTAGAACCGGGCCTCTGTGGCCCTTGATTTTTTCTCTCAAGCTTTTTGATTATTGTAATCATTTCAATTCTTTCATTTATCTCATGAATACCTTTCGAATCTGATGCTACAATGTACCCAATGTATTTGCAATGTGGACTTGCTTTATTGTTTACATTTATTTTTGATAATACACCCTGTTTTCTTGTTTTGAAATATAATTTTTTAGATAATTTATTTTAAGTTATTATTGATGAATTTACTATTTTTTCTTCAAACACTGGTATTATGATCAGTAGTATATATATATATTCTGGTCGAGTTGGAGATTTTAATTCCATTTTATAGTTGAAATTTTTCCCTCTTCAACCTGAATCCTTCTCTTATCCTTTCCCGTTCTCGAAACGCTTGTTTCGGAAGCCTGTCCAATATGGTGTATGTCTTCACAAAGCAGTTCTTGTGGTACCCGATAAAGTAAATATTGGTGTTGTGGTTTGCATTTATTTTCTTCAAAATAATATTGTGACTACTCTGGTATCCTACTTTTTAATTTAACTTTATTGAAAAAGGAGTATTTGCGACGTTGAGCGGTCCACTGTACGAGTCCTTGTCCGTCGATGCTCCAGCTGAAGCCGAATCAGTGATCTGCCCTCCTAATGCCACAAACATCACAGACTGCTGGTTCAATGAGACTAGAGTGGGACGGATAAACGAGAGTGAAATTATTTCCATTGTGTGTTGCCCCGGTGAGTTATAGTAATAATGATTTTTTTTAAATACTATAATAATGGTAATATAAGATCAATTTAGGGTCAATTTCGTAATTCATTTTATGTTCATTCAATTTTGCGAATTCTGTCATCGCAGCTGTTATTTTTCGTTGAAATTCATTTTTTAGCTTTTAAATTTATAAAACGATCATTCAAAAACATTTTATTTTCATTCGAATTAAAACGTGTTTCTTTTTCGTAACATTTTCATTCAATTTAAAGCGAGACGATTCGCCATTACGTAACAGCGTCTTCCGTACGTGAATTCAAATTCGTTTCTTTGCATACAATTTCACACGTTTTGCAGACGAATTAAACATATAAATCTTACCCAATATGATCATTATACAGTTATTGACTGGCAGGGGGTGTAATATAACATTATTTTGACCGCTGAAGGGAGTTATATTTCCCAAGTGGTTATATTTTCCCGAGGGGAAATATAACTCTCTTCAGGTCCAAAGAATGTTATATACCCCCTGCCAGTCAATAACTGTTATATTAGATAGCTTTATTTATTTATTTTTTTTGTGGGGGGGGGGGGGGGGGGGGGGGGGGGTTCCATATTTTTTTTTGCCCGAATATTTTTTTCTTTTTTTTCGGGGACAATCAAAATTACGGAAAAATAATCTGTCGAGATAGTTCAAAAAAGAAAAAATCTTACACAAAAATTAAATTATAAAAAATTTGGGGGGAAAAAAAAAATCGAAAAAAAACTCTTACCCCAAAAAGCACATTTTGGGAAGAAAAAAAAATACCCCCAAAAACATTTTTTCGGGAAAAAAAAATGTGGAAAAAATAATTTCAAGGGAACAAAAAATTTTCATGAAAAAAATATTGAAAAAAAAAATTTTTTTTGCCCGAATATTTTTTCTTTTTTTTCGGGGACAATCAAAATTATGGAAAAATAATCTGTCGAGATAGTTCAAGAAAGAAAAAATCTGACAACACAAATAAAATTATAAAAAAATTTGGGGGAAAAAAAATCGAAAAAAAATTCTTACCCTAAAAAAGCATATTTTGGGAAGAAAAACAAAACAAAACAAAAAATACCCAAAAAAGCATTTTTCGGGAAAAAAATATATGCAAAAAATAATTTCAAGGGAACAAACAAATTTCATGAAAAAAATATTGAAAAAATAAAATGACCCTCGGTAATGGTGTAATTTGTGTAATTGGTGACAGTCCTCAAGAGGGCGACATGCATTGATTAAAAATATATTCATTTCACCAGCCGGTAAAATATAACCAACCAGGAAAATATAACAATTTGGATCCTCGCAATTTATATCACGTGACGAGCTCTGGGCCAATCACATCTTGGTATCTGTCTAAGCTATCTAGTATAATTATATAGAACCCCGAAAGCTTAGTTCCATGCTAAATCCATTTCAAATTGTATGGGTTAGTAAGCAACAAACATGTTATTTGTCCCCACTATGGGTGTATACCCATTAAATCATCACTATTTAGCAACTCAACGATCATGTGTTCAGTAGATACAACCTAGCCACATCAATATAGAATTAGCATGGGACTAAAGCAAGAGTGTCTTTTTATTAATATGCAATGAATCAAATTTATATAAGTGCATGCAAAGTGTTTTTACAGACTACGAGAATGATTGAAGATAATACAAATGTCATGTTAATGAAACCTACATTATTCAAAAACTGAGCAAAAAAGCTTCTCAAAGACCCCCAACGAAACTAAACTCAATCTACTTTTTGAAATTGAATACCTTTTTTCAAACATGCTTGCTCATTCACGAATTTGAATGACCACCGAGGTACCGTAGCCGGCATTAGACAAATTTGAATGCTCTTTGCACGAAATATACGCTCTTAGTGAACATTTGAATGACCCAATTTAAAAACTGATTGCACGGATAGTAAATTTGAATGACGGATTTTGAATTTGAAGGCTGATTTGACGCTGCGAGTGCGATTTGCGCGAATTCTAATGCTGGAAATATGAACTTCAATGAAAATAGTGTGAAATTGGCCGTGAAAACCTTATTATTTCTGAATTGCAAGTTTGCAACCAAAACTGATGTAATACAGTGTAATTCGATACGAATTTTCAAAAGGAGACTTAAAAGCTTTCTTCTGAATAGTTACTAGGCCATTGTATTCCCCAATCAAATATAATTTGTAGTGTGACTTTATGCAACTTGATTTTTTCTTTGTATAAACATGTATGTATTTATCAATGTTTTGCGTTTAAAAGGGATTTTTTTTTTGTATTACTGAATCAGTTATTGTCATTGTGTTTTTTTCCTCATAAAACAATAATTTATAATAATTATTTTTACAGGGGGCTTATTCACTACAAGCTCTGCTTTCTAGTCGGCCCTCCTTCCCTTTCAATATCATGTTTATTTTGTTAATGTATTGTATTGTGCAAATTGATCTATATGTATATAAATGTGTGAATATGTTAAAGTGTATACCATCATTGTAAATATGAACGATTGAAAGAGGAAAAATAAATGAATTGAATTAAATAAATGAATTGAATTGAAACTTGAGGTTGGATTTGAAATACAAATAGAATTACAAACATATAGATAACAATGTTGAAAATAATGTTCGCAAAGTTAAAGAAACTGTAGAATCTTTTGCATAAGCATATGAAAGGAAATAGAGTAAAATTTCCTGAAATATTATTCAACATTCCTTGACTGGGCATGTGTGGGCACTAATCTGACATATAACATCATAAAGAACTGTACATCAACAAATGCACTTTTTATTTTCGTGAGCCGGAACAAATCGGAAAAGTATCAAATTGCAGATTTTCACTAATTTAAACTGCTATTATACAATATAAGCAAATTATTTTGACGCAGTTAGGCTTTTCTATTTATATTTTATCATCTGTTCGATTTTCCCCATGTTAGTTCAAATAAAAAGTGAGATATAAACGATATTTCGTTGTGAACAAGAACATTACTCAAGCTTTCCAATGATATTGGTGCCTTCGAACCTCGGACATCAAAGGTGACAGCACCCATCTAGATTTTATTGTGCAGCCTTAGAAAACGGCAGCTGCTTATAATAATTTGTTGTCAGTTGGGACTCCATCTCTTAAAACACCTTGGTTATACTAGCTGCGCCAGTAGTCCCGAGGTGCACGCTGCCGCCCCATTATCTGCTATTAAAGCTAGAGGCAATCGCGCAAGGACCGAAACATGAAGAAGTTTTTCGTTGTAAAAAGCGTGAATCCTCTGAAATCTGGTCATTCCAAAAGATCAGCAAATAATAAACCTCGACCAGTAAATATACCGAAAACTAAATTTGTAAAAGGAAACATGTTGGCAAGGAGGCGAATGTATGGGTACCGATTCAATGGAAATTTTAATTTAAAAAGAGCCCCCATCAGTACTAAAAGAGCTCACGGGGGCCCTTTTTGGGGCAGAGCCCCCGTGAAAAAGAAAATTGATATGAGCCCTGCTTATAAATTTTAAGGAGATGTTAGGGAATACTACAAAAACCACACCTACGAAATGTCAACGACGACGGTAAATTCTTGTTACGATATCATAATCTTGTTGCATTTTTTATGACTTGCTATGGGTATGAAATATAATTTTTACTGTCGTGTTTTTTTTTGCACTTCTAGGCCTCTGTCGTTTTACTCTGTAATATGCTTTTATTATTTCTTGACTTTATTTCCTATAGTGAACCCGTGTAATATATCTGGTCAACCACTCGGCCTTGAAAGTGGTGATCTTCCCGATTCTGCTTTATCTACATCATCCTGCTACTTGGAGTCCTATTGCAGCCGTTTTGGCCGCCTGAACTCTGAGGCAGCCTGGATCCCAGAATCTTCCGACAAATCCCCATGGATGCAGGTCCAGTTTGAGTCAAGTTATATCGTAACGGCCATAATGACTCAGGGTATAAATGAGTCTGATCAGTGGGTGAAGTCATACACCCTTTCGTCTAGTTTTGACGACATGACTTGGACTAAGTATTTGAAGGTATACTCTAGAGAAGTTGAGGTAATTGGCAAACTGCGGTTCTTCAATTACATTTTTAAAAAAACAATTAATTAGTGGTCTTTGTATTCAGAGATAAATTTTACCTCGTTGAAACTTCATTAAACTATGGAAATTTGTTGATATTATACAGCTTTGTTATGCCATGGCTAAGAAAAAATCCACAAAAAAAAGTATTTACTACTTAAGAATAAAACTGATTCGATCGTCTTAAAGAAGTTAAATTTAATATAACGATGTTTTCAATAACAAGGTCCCACTGTTATTTTTATATTTAATATTATTATCACTTATTTTTTTAGGCAATAAAGAAAAGACAAATTAAATCAGAAAACAGGAACTCCCATTTCTCATTTAGGCATAATAGGCAGAAGAAAAGCCAAAATAGCGATATACATATATAAGCCTGCGCATATTAAAACAACAGCGGATCATTATCAACCCAATAAGGATTTTCAAAAAAAGAATAAAGATCCTCGAAAATGACACCTTAATTGAGCAAGCCATGTTGATAGGGAGGTTTCGACCACCCCCGAGCGATGGAACTCTGGTCACTCTTCTTCTTTTTACACAATACTGTTCAGGATACTGAGATATGGAGTTGAAAAAATGAGAAAAAAAGAAGAAGAATACAAAATGGCCATGTTATTCGTAATTGGCCCTTCTTGACAACAACGTTTGTAGTCAGCATCGTATTAATTCACAGGCCGCCGTATAGGTTATAGGGATAGTTGAGTTATGTTGCAGAGGGCGCTACACTAAATAATTTTGTTGTGAGATAATGAAAAACTGAGTGTCAAATTTGAAAGAACAAACAGTTTAAATGACAGAATCATCTTTGTTTGATCAAAATCGGTTTAGAGACGGCTAAAATATCCATCAACCAATAAATCAAATCAAATCAAACAAATTACGATTTCTAATACTTGTGTACCACCATAAATATTACATAATTTGAACCAGCCGTTGAAAGCCGTCGCAAAACCAAAATAGCGCCTTTTACGTTGTATTTCAGCCAATACCGATGTTGGCTTTTTTGTTTGCTTTTTCGTGTTGGTTATACGCACGACGAGCCGGCCCGTGTATTGTCATTATTAGTTAATGAATTAATTAACGGTCACCGTATTTCTTTGAAAGTGGAGCTGAATTAGTATTGGCTAAATTTCACACATTTTGGGATCTAAAATTACCTTCATAGCAATTGTAGGTCCTGAAAGGGCACTAGACATGTCATAGATAAGAATAAGAGCAATAACCATGCACTTTGAAGGCACTTGCGATCTGAAAAAACAGAACTCAACTATCCCTTTAATGAACTAACGATTAGCTTCATTACGAATTAGTTTTCTTTGCAATATTACTTAACGTCATTTTCATTAACTATATAGATATTTCCGGGAAATTATGACCGTGGTTATGTGACTCACATGCTTGCTAGGCCGGTAGTTGGACACTCTTTCCGGATCCATCCGAAGACTAAGTACGTTCGCATTACTTTGAGGATGGAACTATATGGGTATGGACCTCTAACCGATGCCGTAGGTAAGTGCAGAGTAGGACTGTTACTTAAAGAGTGTTGGCTCAGTCAGTAGAGCGTCAGTAGAGCGTCTGCCTCACAACCGGGAGGTCGTGGTTTCGATCCCCCGCCGCGTCATACCAAAAGACGTTAAAAGATGGGAGTTGTTGCTACCATGTTTGGCGTTCAACAATGAGGGATAGAGCAACGTCGATCTGGCGCTGCTCAGTGGCTGCCAGCCTCACGATCAATTGGGCAAAAAGAATTTCCGTTTCGGTTTAATAAAAATTTGGAGTGGACTATTGGGCTATTATTATTATTATTATACATATCAATACCATACATACCAATTATAGATTGGTAGGTGCTGAAATAAATGAACACACGATTCATAATAATAATAATAGCTCGTTCTTATATAGCGCTTTTCAGGACCCAATATTATTACCCCGGTCATCGGATTCAGGCTTACCCGCACACAATGTATGCACATTCTCCACTCCCTGTGGAGCATCCCAGCTAGATCAATGTCTTGCCAAAGGACATTAGTGACGCGGTGGTACTTGAACCGCAGACCTTGTGATTGTCCTAGGAGGTAATTTTCTGGGGGGTAATAATCCTCTGGGTGTGATAGTCCTTGGGGGGTAGTTGTCCTCGGGGGGGGGGGGACATTTCCTGAGGGTTGATTTTCCAGGGAGGTAATTATCCTAGAACCGACTCAAAGGCCTAAAGCCATACATCCTGTTAACCCTTTAGGCCTATATGAACTTGTCATTTTATTTCTATTCAAGTACTGCTGACATTTAGAATGGATATGCCTAAAACAAAAAAAAGCATGTGGAAGATGTATGTTGTACTGTGCATATTGCATGTATTGTATACATTATAATAGGGTTTATTGTGAATATCTGTGAGCATGGAAACTTTCAATCCTTATTGCTTCTAAACAAAAAATATTATATCTCTGAAACTTTTATATGTTTTAGTGAACATGTCAGAGATTACATTTCATGAAAAATGTTGTCAAAGTTACGTGATCCACAAGGTCAATTTAAAGGTCAAATCTGAGGTCAAGAGGTCAAAGTACCCCAACATGTACGAATCTTCAAAATGGCGGTAGATTTGGAATCCTTATTGAATACCCTTTCCAACAATACACATTTTGTGAAGATTTACTCATTAGGTCCCGAGATACAAGGGTTCAAAGGTAGGCCCGCCACCCCTTTTTTTGAAAAAATCTCAAAATTTGATGGGCCGTATCTCCAAAACCCCTCACCCGATTGACCTAAAATTTGGGATTTGGTGCTGTGAGATCACAATCAAAAAGTTCACTAAGTTTCATCAAAATCAAAAATGGTCGGGTTAAAACCATTGGGTGATTTGACATGGAATGACCCCCTTGCCTTGCGAGTATTAGTAGGTATTATGTTCTTATAAAAGACCAGTTGGAGAGCTTTGATTGAACTAATAAGTTGTATAGCTTTATTGAGTCTCTATGTCAGTCAGACATCTTTGTAGGCATCTCCTGTACAAGTACTCATTGTTTCATAACATGACCTAGCATGAGTCATGGGTTGCAGGTCATTCTATATTTAGTTATACATGCTAGTATGTATTTGCAGACTCTGTTAAACTACATGTAGCTATCACTACACCTCCCTTCTTTAAAAGAGGTTTACATATATATATATAAAACTTCTTAAACTGTACAGAGTGACAGGGTGGACTACCTGTACACTCCCGACTGTACTAGGGCATTATTCTGTCCCTTAAAGCTGGAGTACTGTCGCTTTCAAAATATATATAACTTATTACGCGACAGTCCATATCTTTCAAGGTTGCGATTCGCGAAACTGGAATTCTCCGTTGAGGTTGAGTGATATCTGTTGATTTCTGTAATCAAAGTGACTGATTAAATCCGGTTATATTTTTAAACTATAACATGCAAATATATATATCATGCTCATGCAATCCTGCAGTTATGTTTTAAAGTCCAAGTTGAACTCTGTAACTATAAACTATTTACAAAACGCGAAAGTCTTTCTCTGTAGTTCGCTTTCATTTATTTACAAGTTCAAGCGATCTGGCGGTTTAATAACTCGTCCGCTTCTGGTTCTGGTTGATGACGTAGTTGAGCTTTCTTCAGATGCTGGTTGCTCTGTAGCTTCTGCAGTGTCATCTAGCTCGAAGTCATCCTGTGTTGGTAGTGGAATAGACTCGGCTTGTTGTTGACGTGGGACTGGCCTGAGGTGACGTCTGTTTCTGCGACGTATCTCTCCTGTTTCTGTCTCGATCTGGTATGATCTGTTTCGATCCTGGACAGACCTGACAATACCACGTTTCGACCAGGTGTTGGTTTTCATGTCTTGGAGTATCACATGATCTCCAGGCTTTAGCTTTGACAAGTCTCGAGCATGTTTGTCGAATCGCTCTTTTTGCTTCACCTTATGATCCTCCTTTCTTCCCCTCACTGATCGAGTATTGACCTGTTGGTTGACAAGTAAACTGTCAAGCATGGGGAGATTCGATCGAAGTCGACGATTGTAGAGGAGTTCTGCCGGAGACTTTCCGCATGCTAGTGGTGAACTGCGATAGACTTGTAGAGCTCTGTGGATATCCTGTCCACTGTGCTGTGACTTCAATATGAGTTTTTTCACAATCTTCACAGCATTCTCTGCGAGGCCATTTGATTGCGGATAATATGGACTCGATGTAGTATGGTGAAAATCCCATTCTTTTGCAAAGCTCTGGAACTCTTGGCTTGCAAATTGAGGACCATTATCCGACATCAGCTCACATGGCGTTCCATGGCGGGCAAATACTGCTTTCATGTGGTTGATCACGGCCTTGCTACTAGTAGAAGTCATAGTACATACTTCAATGAACTGTGAATAGTAGTCGACGATGACCATGTACTCTCTATTGTTCAGCGTGAACAAATCAACAGCAACTTTTTCCCACGGGCGGTTCGGCACGTCATGAGGATGTAGACTTTCAGCTTGCTGTTTTGGTCTGTACATTAGGCATGAAGTACAACTTTGGACCATTTCAGTGATTTCTGTGTTGATTCTGGGCCAATAGATGACTTCTCTAGCACGTTTCTTACACTTCTCGATGCCTAAGTGTCCTTCATGGATTTTGTTTAGCATGAACCTTCTCATAGTAGTGGGAACCACTATTTTGCTGCCTTTGAAGATGATGCCATCTGCTTCAGAGAGTTCACTCCTGATGTTCCAGTATTCCCTGACTCTAACTGGACATTGCTGCTTCGTTTCCGGCCAACCATCTCTGATGATGCCTAGCAGCTCTTGCAGTTGATCATCTTTCTTTGTCTCTTCGAAAATCTGATTTCGTTTGTTCGATGTAACTGGCATGCTCTTGACAATAGCATCTACGTAGACTCTAATATCTTCCTCAGTTTCAGCATTCAACTCAGCCTTTGGATCTACTGCTCTGGACAATGTATCAGCAGTATACATGTACTTTCCAGGCGTGTACGAGACCTTGAGATCATATCTCTGTACCCTGATGAGTAACCTTTGAATGCGTAGGGGACAGTCACCCAGTGACTTTACAAACAGTGGAATAAGTGGCTTGTGATCAGTCTCCACTTCTACTTGTTGTCCATAGATGTATTGATGGAATCTTTCACATGCGTATGTGATTGCCAGCAATTCTTTCTCGATCTGTGCATATCTAGTCTCTGCATCAGTCATTGATCGAGATGCATATGCGATCGGAACCCAATCTTGATCATATTGCTGTAGTAGCACTGCACCAATACCATCCTTTGATGCGTCTGCTGACAGCTTGGTTGGTTTCTTGCAGTCATAGAAATGTAGGACTGGCTCTTGTATCAGAGCTTGTTTCAGCTGATTCCATGCATCCTCTTGTGCATGATCCCATGTCCATACATTCTTTTTGTCTAGTAGATGTCTCAGCGCTGCTGACTTGGTCGACAGATCTGGAATGAACTTCCCTTGGTAATTGATCATACCCAAGAACCGTTGGACATCTTTCCGACATTTCGGTCTCTCAATGTTCAAGATAGCAGACACTTTCTTTGGATCAGGTTGAACTCCTTGATCACTGATCAAGTCACCAATGAATGTGAGCTTCTTGACATTGAACTCGCATTTGTCTTTGTTCAACTTGAGATTCATTTTTCTCACAATGCTGAGAACCTCTCTCAACCTGTCATCATGCTCCTGTTGGGTAGTTCCCCATACAATCACATCATCCATCATTGTGTTAACTCCCGGAATGTGTGCAAACAGTTGGTGCACTATCTTGTGATAGACTTCCGGAGCACTACAAATACCGAAAGGTAGTCTCAAGAACTTGTACCTTCCATATGGCGTGATAAACGTACAAAGTTTGGAGCTTTCGTCATCTAGTTGGATCTGCCAAAAACCACTAGATGCATCTAACTTGCTGAAGTATTTGGCTCCTGCAAAATGTGCAGTTATTTCAGCTCTTGATGGCAATTGATAGTGTTCTCTTTTGATTGCTCGGTTCAGGTCTCTTGGATCTAGACAGACCCTGAGCTGACCATTCTTTTTCATCACCACCACGAGAGAAGAAACCCAATCAGTTGGCTCATCAACTCGTGTGATTACGTCCATTCGTTCCATCTTATCTAACTCGTCTTTGAGTTTATCTTTAAGTGGAAATGGAACTTTGCGACATGCATGCTGAACAGGATGTGCATCCTCTCTCAATGTGATGTGGTGTTTACCAGGAAGACAACCTAGACCTACAAACACATCTTGATAGTCTTGAACTATACACTTTTACCCGTTCCGTGTTCAGTTTGTTTCTCAACATGATACACCCGTTTCACCAGATACAAGTCTTCACTCGTCCGTAATCCTAACAAAGGCTGACGATTTCCAGGAATGACTAGACACGGCACATTAAGTTTGATCCCTTTGTACTCAACTTGTACACAACAACGACCTTTGACCGGGATATCTGTCTCATAATAACCTGTCAACATCACTTTGGCTCTTTGTAGCTTTGGTTTTGGTTTCAATTTGTGAAATACTGTCTCAGGAAGAAGATTCGCCTGAGCACCAGTATCAACCTTGAAGTCAACCGGCTGGTTATTGACTAGTAGATTAACTATCCATTCATCCTTGGAGTCTTTTGATTCAACAGAGCAAATCATGAAACCTTCTGAATCTACCTCCAAGTGCTGCAGTTCATTGACCTTGGCTACTGGGGTTTTACAACATTTAGCAAAATGATTCTGCTTACCGCACTTCTTGCATGTTTGACCTTGTGCAGGACATTTGTCTTTGCTATGTCGGTTTCCGCACCTGCTACATGCATCACTTTTAGTACGACTTTGAGGTTCTGACCGTTTTGACTTTGAACCAGGAAATTTCTTCTTAGTCTTGCTGAAAGAATCTACCGGAATTGAGGCGTTTTCCCCTGCAGAACTCAACGCTTGTGCCTGCGTTCGAGTTTGTTCAGCCGCACGACATACTTGCAACGTTTTAACCAATGTAAGATCATCTTGCCTCAACAAACGTTCTCTTAGACCATCGTCTAAAATACCACAGATAATTCTGTCCTGGATAAGACTCTCTTTCAACATGGAAAACTCACATGACTGAGCACGACTCCGCAATTCTGTTGCGTACTGATCAACACTCTCATGCACTAACTGAGATCTTGTGAAAAATCTATGTCTCTCATACGTTAGATTACGTTTCGGCATGCAATATTCCTCATATTTGTTCAACACTTTCTCAAGCTTCATGCTCTCACCCTCAGCAAATACAAACGTATTATACAATTCCAAGGCAGCATCGCCAATCACGTGTAGAAGCATTGATGTTTGTAACTTTTCATCTTTTTCAGACATTCCTGAGTCAACATTGTATAGAGTGAATTTCTGTTTAAACCTTCTCCAGTTCTCGGAAATATTTCTCTTTAAGTCGAGTGGAGGAGGTTGACTGAGATTTGCCATTTTGTTTCTTTTTGTTTCTTAGCCTAGTGTAGTCACTCACATGAACAGCATAACAATTAGCTTTTTTCTTGTTGTATCTTTGCAACAATTACTTTAAGCTCAACTATTAACTTTCACTGAGTTATTCTGTATGTTCATGTCCCATATATGTCACGCTTACTGCCCGTTATACTGGAACTGGCCCGGCACAGAACTATGCACTCCAATCCATACAACGACAGCGCTATATGGACATAACTACATTCACTGGACATACACTTAGACTCTAAGCCCTCTCATCATCTCTCACATCATAAAGAATTGGATTGAACTGGCCTGATTTCAATGATTCCTCCATATATATACTGTAGGCTGGATCGCTCAGCACAAACACTGGCTGCCTAGTTCTGACACCATATTATGTTCTTATAAAAGACCAGTTGGAGAGCTTTGATTGAACTAATAAGTTGTATAGCTTTATTGAGTCTCTATGTCAGTCAGACATCTTTGTAGGCATCTCCTGTACAAGTACTCATTGTTTCATAACATGACCTAGCTATAGCTATTAGTTATACATGCTAGTCTGTATTTGCAGACTCTGTTAAACTACATGTAGCTATCACTACAGGAAATATAAGAAAATCAGTTACAAGGTCAGTTAGTTGTCTTCGTCTTTTTTTGTGTGTGTGTGTGTGTGTGCAGCGTCGCTGAACCTCGATGCGGAATTTGGTTGCATTCCTGTCCTCGGCGAGGGGCTTGGCGTGGAAGATGGTAGTATACCAAACTCTAGACTGACATCGTCATCGATAAGAACGTCTGGGACAGAAACTCACAAGGGAAGGCTGAATACGGTTGGCGGTGTATGGGCCGCCGACTCTGCAGACAACAATACGTGGGTTAAGGTAATTTGCTCTAGCATGTCTAAATGCGCATTGAGATGATTTCAAAAGATAATTTGTGTACAGCTAGAATACATACAAATCTAACTTCTCTTCGTGATAGGTTGCACCTCGACAAAACTCCTGACAACACAGATGATTATATTATAAGATACAAGGATACATGCTTTTAAAACAAATTAAAAAATGTTTAGGGCTGGTCAGACTCGACCTCACAACGAAAACGAAATTTTCCTCTTGGGGTCCATCCTAAATAAACATTAAAAGGCGTACCTTCAATCGAAAATCCCGCTATCGCTATCATTAAAATCTGACAGGTCTTTCGTTTTGCTCATATTGAAAGCAACAATTGTGTTCAAATCATGGTACATATGTTTATATATATATATACCCAGATAACAATACGGCGTTGGGCCAACGTCGGCCATGGTCGGCAGGGTCGCAGTCGGCAAGCCAACGTTGGCTAATCGTTGGGCCATCGTCGCCATTTTTTTACTGATAAATGGTGGCTATTGGTTGGCTCATTCGACGTTGGGCCAATGTTGGCTGAACGTTGGTCCATTGTCGCCATTTTCACTGATAAATGGTGGCTATTGGTTGGCTATTCGACGTTGGTCCAATGTTGGCTGAACGTTGGTCCATTGTCGCCATTTTCACTGATAAATGGTGGCTATTGGTTGGCTATTCGACGTTGGGCCAATGTTGGCTGAACGTTGGTCCATTGTCGCCATTTTCATTGCTAAATGGTGGCTTTTGGTTGGCTATTCGACGTTGGGCTATTGTTGGTTTAATGTTGGTCCATTGTCGCCATTTTCACTGATAAATGGTGGCTTTGGGTTGGCTATTCGACGTTGGGCCAATGTTGGCTAAATGTTGGTCCATCGTCTCAATTATCACTGATAAATATTGGCTATTGGTTGGCTATTCGACGTTGGGCTAACGTTGGCTCATTGTCGCCATTTTCACTGATAAATGTTGGCTTTTGGTTGGCTATTCGACGTTGGGCCAATGTTGGCTGAACGTTGGTCCATTGTCACCATTTTTACTGATAAATGGTGGCTTTTAGTTGGCTATTCGACGTTGGGCCAATGTTGGCTGAACGTTGGTCCATTGTCGCCATTTTCACTGATTAATGGTGGCTATTGGTTGGCTATTCGACGTTGGGCCAATGTTGGCTGAACGTTGGTCCATTGTCACCATTTTCACTGATAAATGGTGGCTATTGGTTGACTATTCGACGTTAGTCCAATGTTGGCTGAACGTTGGTCCATTGTCGCCATTTTCACTGATAAATGATGGCTATTGGTTGGCTATTCGACGTTGGGCCAATGTTGGCTGAACGTTGGTCTATTGTCGCCATTTTCACTGATAAATGTTGGCTTTTGGTTGGCTATTCGACGTTGGGCTAACGTTGGCTCATTGTCGCCATTTTCACTGATAAATGGTGGCTATTAGTTGGCTATTCGACGTTGGGCCAATGTTGGCTGAACGTTGGTCCATTGTCACTATTTTTACTGATAAATGGTGGCTATTGGTTGGCTATTCGACGTTGGGCTAAAGTTGGCTCAACGTTGGTCCATTGTTGCCATTTTCACTGATAAATGGTGGCTATTGGTTGGCTTTTCGACGTTAGGCCAATGTTGGCTGAACGTTGGTCCATTGTCTCAAATATTACTGATAATTGTTGGCGTTTGGTTGGCTATTCGACGTTAGGCCAATGTGGGCTGAAAGTTGGACCATCGTCTCAATTTTAACTTATAAATGTTGGCTATTGGTTGGCTATTCGGCGTTGGGCCAACGTTGGCTTCATGTTGGTCCATCGTCTCAATTTTTTTTTTAAATGGTGGCTTTGGGTTGGCTATTCGATGTTGGGCTAACGTCGGCTGAACGTTGGTCCATCGTCTCAATTTTAAATTTTAAATGTTGGCTATTGGTTGGCTATTCGGCGTTGGGCCAACGTTGGCTTCATGTTGGTCCATCGTCTCAATTTTTTTTTTAAATGGTGGCTTTGGGTTGGCTATTCGATGTTGGGCTAACGTCGGCTGAACGTTGGTCCATCGTCTCAATTTTAAATTTTAAATGTTGGCTTTTGGCTGGCCATTCGATGTTGGGCCAATGTTGGCTGAACGTTGGTCCATCGTCTCAATTATTACTGATAAATTGTGGCTTCTTAATTGGCTATTCGACGTTTGGCTATTAACGTTGGCTCAATGTTGGTCCATCGTTTCAAATTTTACTGAGAAATGGTGGATTATGTTGGCTAATATACGCGACGTTGGGCCAACCCGGGGGCCAACCTTGGCTTAACGTTGGTCTATATCGTCTCCATCTTTACTGATAAATAGTGCATGTATATATTGGTTGGCTATATGACGTTGGGCCAACGTAGCAAATACGACCTAGTACCGCTACATCCGGGTAAAAAAAATTGCATGCGTGCGCATGCCCATGTGTTCATGCAATACACCAGTTTACAGTTGTATCAGTGCGCATGCGCAGACAGTTGACCTCGGGTCATTGGCCCCAAAATTGGGGCCAATAACCTCTGACCTCTGGTATTTATGCGTAAATTAAAATTGCGCCCATGCAAATGATGATGTGCGCGCACAACGCAGCGCGCAGGCAGTGATGTCATCATTATTTGCATGGGCGCAATCTTAATTTACGCATAAATACATGACTCCTAGGTCATTAGCTTTGTTTAAAATGGCGCACACAACTGTAAACTGGTGTATTGCAACGTACGTCAGCCATATCCTGTCGATTTGTCTGGATCAGTTGCCGGGGAGTACCAACACTGCATGGTAAATGAATGATTTTCTTTCTCTTTCAACGTTATTTTTGTGAGCATGTCGCGTGAAACTGATAAATTGTATAGTGTGAGAACTCCCCGTCACAAAGCGAGGGAAATAGCATGAGAAATTGTTAAAGTAATCATTGATAATTCCCTGTCCAAATGAAAGTGAAAGTGAGTACGAGCTTGTGTACCGCTCGGCGTACGCTTAGCAAGCACACCCGCTGCGTGCAATTGAAGTGTGAGTGATGGCTATGATGGGTATGATGGGGGCCGAAGTGTCGGCATCAGATGCATTGAGTGTTTGCCGTGATAAATGTTAATATGTTCCTGACTTAGAGTTAGACCTAGGTGATGTATTGATGCATCATGTTGCAGCGTCCGTGACAGTGATGATGTTCATCCCAATATGCAATATCGACCATGAATCAAATGATTGTGAATCTGTTGGTGTTACAAGTGTTGAAGGTGCTGATGCATTGTTGGAAAGACCAATTGAATCAAATAGAGCTGAATGGGAAGACGCATCATTTTTTTATGCATATCTAAATGATATTATAGTCTCTGATACTTTCAGATTTAGAAGTAGGTCTATACTATACTCTGTAGTAGCTCAATATATGCTGATGATGATTCAGTTCGAAAAGGAATAAATTACGAGATTGAGCTGTGAATTAAGATATCCCGCTAGTACATGTTTCTAGCCTCCTGAAATCTTACAAGGGTGCCAAGTCTGCCAAAATATGCAAGAACCTTGTATCAACACATTTAGTGGATTGTGAGTGTGATGTGAAAGAGGTAGCTGGTGGGAATTACCCTCATTTTAGCATTTGCAATCATTTAAAGTCGCAATTGGCCAAGAACCCTTAATTTGATCAAATAGTAAATAGGAAAAACTATTGGGGGCGGGGGTAACACTGATCGATCCCATAATTTTCATTCACAATTTTCATTCACAAATTTGATTATTGCTGCATTTTTATTCTCATTTTCAAATTAGTTTTTATTGTTTATGCACATGTATATTAAATTGCTATAATTTGAACCGAAGGTAAATATTCTAATTATTTATTTTTAAAATTCTGACGTTCTTTATTAATACATTCAATTCTATATAGCTCTTCCAAATCCCAATACTTTTTTCTCCCATAATCCCTACAATTCTGAAATTTAAATATTAAATCCTGCATTTCATATCGTCAACTTCACAACAAATTCCAGATTCCTCTACCCGTTCAGATCCAGCTACCCCTACCTCGATCATCCAGAACAGCATCAACAGCACCAAGGACCCCTTCGACATCGACCCCATCAATCTCCAGAACACTGTCGACCCCAACGACCCCATTGACCTCAACATTCAGAAATATGGGTATGTCATTTGGCATTTTATTAATTTTGTATTTAGTTATACATGTAGACAGGATAGCACTTCTTAGTATTCGTTATAGTTGTGCCCTGCACACAAAGTACAAATGTACTGGATTAATGTACGTTTGTGTAGGACATAGCTGCTAACGGATGCTAGAATCTTTTTCCTGATTATATTGAGAAACTGCATTGTGATCACTTACAAAACTATTGAACAACAACAAATCATGAAATACTGCTTATAGCAGTATTTTTTTGGAAACAATTCTGAATGCAGGGTGCCACAAAAAACAAAACACAGTCAATTGATTTGTTTCTTGTATAAGCAACTAACGATATAGCTTTGTGTTTTTGTTTCTACTTTGAAGCCCCTCGAGCTCTCTCAAGTATTGGGAGCTTACATAAATACAAAAAAAAGTATTGGGAGCCACAAATTTTACTTCAATGTTATAATGATGTGAAAGAAAATGCCACTCTTCTTCAAACATTTGTCCTAAAATTAGAAAGAATACAAACTTGCTAAGGATTTTGTGTTGTATGCAGAAAACGCAAATTTTGTATTCTTTCATCCATATTCTACTTCAAACACATTTGTTAGGGCAATATTATATTTGCAGAAGTGTCCAGGTGTTAATGACATCCTCTTTTACATCATACCATTTAAGTGAGATTGTGCCATCTATTCTTTGGCTAATTTTGGGATCCAACACTTAAGAGGGGCATCTCAACACTGAGCAAACAGATACTATAAATTGGTTCTTTCTATTGAAGAATATTACTGCCATTTTACCTCAAATGTATATTTCCTTTGTTAAGAAGAGTGTTTGATGGTACTCTAATTAAACAAGACAAAAATAAAAGAAATCCATTCCTTTCTAATTTCCATACATCTGGGTCATTCGCTCTAAAGTTTGAACGAAGTTATTTTCATGACAAAGTACTTCTATCCATGAAATGTCATCAAAACTAGGGAGGATGTGCCACTCAGGACTACTTCCCTTGAATGCCGTACTATTTGATTAATATCCGTACTATTTCAAGGTGATGTTTCCATGATCTGCTTTTAAATCTTGTTTGGTTTCTTTCTTCTTCTTTTTTTTTTGCCGCAGATGTCGAAGCTGTACCACCACAAGCTAGACAAGATTTTGATTCCGACTAACCCATTCTTTAAAGGTCCATTGCCATAGGAAATTAAAACTTTTATGTCTTGTATCAAGACCCTTTTAAAGCAACATAATAACAATTGTTTCATAAATAAATGCCTCCTTATATTTTTTACAATTTTTTGAAAACCTCTCCAAGTTGCTCGTCTAATGGTGGACCCCGCCCCTTACAATTCTCAGAGTTCCTCGGAATGATTGACCAAAGGATTAGTGATGTTATATCAAGAACGATCTCCGCTTAGGCAAGCTACGGTGCTTGCTAGCCAGCTCTGCAGGCATTATGTTTTGTACACAAACATAAACAATAACTTTTGTTATTAAATAGTGTGCTATGCATCTTTACTTGTTATTTATTGTGGTGAAATTTCACTAATGGCCCAATTTTAAAAAGAGAGCTATACCATGAGTCGAAGAAGGTCGTAATTGATTTGAATGCCTGTATAACGTGTCAACTAAATGCATGCTATAAAGAATTTCAAAGGTAAGAAAAAAATGTTTCATATATCTAAGTGACTGAATGTTTTTCGCACTACCTTCTTCTCAAGTTAAAGAAATATTGAAAGTGGTATATTAGAGTGAAGAAACTTGTGTTTTTCCCTTTACAAGCTCTGCTCTTTCTTACTTCACTTTCAAATTTCCTCTCTTGTTATATAAACATTTAGCGATTGCTTTACTTCACACATTCAAGCAATGTATACTATCCCTCCTAAAAAAACAGTTTGTAGATGTGTTAACAATAGATATGGCGACGAAATGTATCAGCATCTCTGAAATGCTTAAGCATAAAAAATGTTGGCAATTTCTCTGAATTTTATTTTTTATTTTTTATGGAACATTGTTTACATTAATTGCCTAGTTCTTGGTATGCAAATGTTGGACACTTTATTAATTTCTTTATATTTTTGTGCTGTACATATGTAGAGGAATCTTGTCATAAGCAATCGTGTTCGTCTGCCAGAAAGTTTGTTTTGTTTTACTCGGGAAGTTGTGAGGATTGTTTATTATATTCGTACAATGAATTTCAGTATGTTATGTTGTGTTACGTGTAAGCGACAATTCATTTTATAACAACTCCTATCGTCCTAGCATTCATTGATAGTAGGCCTATATTGTGACACATTGAGATACCTTGAACTTGAAACTATGTTTACATCTTTTTCGAATTCAAACGAAAATACAAAAGAAAGATGTACAATAATTGTATTCACATTTACAACAGTTTGTTTATTACACATAAAATAAAGTATGTTTTATCACAAAATCAGTTTATTTTCCTTGTTCTTTTGTTTTGGAGGGAGGGGGGTGTATTCAGAGCAAATTCTAAGAAGCAAGATGGTGAACTTTTCATTAAAATGGGACAAATAAGTTGTTATCAAATTTTGATAGTGATTAAAATGTACAAGATAATAGACATGACGAAATTAAAATAACATGTCCCTCTTGCTTCAATATTGTTATTATACATATCTTCCAGAGGGATCTAAGTCGAGTTCTATAATGAACTTTTCTCAAATTCAGTCTAATTTTGATGAAATTGTTACTATCTTCATTTTGTGGATCTTGCTCTGTTTATTTATTTAATCCAATCTTAAACTACTTGGCTTTTCCTTGTCACGTTGTGATGCATGTGTTTGAATGATTGTACATGTCCGATGTAGTATGATCTTGACGATGTTCTTATGAACGGACGACTGATGTTGGTGTGAATATGTTTTTGAGTTGGTGTTGGTAATGTCAGAAGGATGTTGGCATGAACTGGAAAGGGGAGGTACAACGTCGGCACATGGTGGGATACGGGTTGGCATAACGTTGCTTCTACGTCGGCAAATGGTGGAGAAGAGGTTGGCATAACGTTGGTCTAGCATTGGCACATGGTGGAGGAGGGGTCGGCACTTGGTGGGAAAAGGGTTGGCATTATGTTAGGACAACGTCGGGGAGACGTCGGCACATAGTGTAAAAGGGGTTGGCATTACGTTGGTCCTACGTCAGGGAGACGTCGGCACATGGTGGAAAAGGGGTTGGTATTACGTTTGTCCTATGTCGGCATATGGTGGGATAGGGGTTGACATGACGTTGGTCATACGTCGGGGGGACGTTGGCCCGATGTTGGCTTAATGTCATTTCGTCGCTGTCGAGCCAACGTTGGCCCGCCGGCAAGAAAGCCGTTGGCCCAACATCACATTGGCGACGATGGCGCAACGTAACAGCCCACGACGTCGGCACATATGGTGGGATAGGGGTTGGCATAACGTTGGTCCAATGTCGGAACTACGTCGGCACATGGTGGGATAGGGGTTGGAATAACGTTGGCCCTACGTCGTGGAGACGTCGGCACATGGTTGAAAAGGGGTTGGTATAACGTTGGGCCAATGTCGAGGAGACGTCGGCACATGGTGGGATAAGGGTTGGCATAACGTTTATCCAATGTCGGAACAACGTCGGCACATGGTGGGATAGGGGTTGGCATAACGTTGGTCGTACGTCGGCACATGGTTAAAAAAGGGTTGGGACGACGTTGGTCCAATGTCGGAAAGACGTCGGCATACGGTGGAAAAAAGGTTGGCATAACGTTGGATCAATGTCGGGAGGACATCGGCACATATGGTCGGATAGGGGTCGGCATAACGTTGGCCCGATGTTGGCTTAATGTCATTTTGTCACTGTCGGGCCAACGTTGGCCCGCCGGCAAGAAAGCCGTGGGCCCAACATCATGTTGGCGACGTTGGACCAACGTAACAGCTTACGTTGGCCCCACGTTGGCGTAACGTCGTATTGTTATCTGGGTATATATATAAGCAAGTTTAGTGAAACTGCAATTTCTAACAGTGCTCAACTGTAGGAGCAAATGAGTGTTTTTAACTTCGCCATGATTGTATTATGTATTTAGTTACTGATGAGCCTTCTGGCGAAACAGTCTGTTTAACTCGTACCAATAAAGTGTAACCTTCCGACTCCTATATCTATATATATATATATATATATATATTGCTTGTCCGTAGTATTGTTATCAAATGCAAGATAATTTGCCATCGGATATATTAATATTTTGTCTTCTTTTCATCATTGAAATCGCCAAAAGGTCAATCTTGGCAAAGATACTTTGGTAACTGGTGTTATCACACAGGGATGGAGACATAACAAGCCTTTGTCATTCCAAATCTCCTACTCAAGAGACGATAAAAATTGGACCTTTGCTCTGGAAGAGCATTGTGGGGTACGAAAAGTGAGTGTTATTTTCGCACTTCCAGAAAAGGCAAATTTAGCTTTGGTTAAATCTATCATCTTCCTTGTTTATTCATGTTCATTTAATTACTTGTATACTTAACTAATTTTTAAAAATTTCCTTATTGAAGTTTGCAAGCAATTTGTCAATCATATTTACATACGTTTACACATTTAAAAAAAAGATTTTTTGAAATATGCAAAAACTCTATCGAAATCAATTATTTATGTGCCTTGGATATGATATCTCTAACATTAATCAACATTTTCCATTCTCCACTTAGATGTAAAAGGGTACCTGGAAGTTTCTGGGGTCATAGGAATTGCAGGGCACTTGGGAAGAGCAGAAATGATACTGATGAGCCTTTGATGGTTAATAAAAAAAATTGTAAATCATTATTATTATTGTCATTATTATTATTATTATTATTATCATTATTAGAAATAAACATTATCCATCGCTTTCGTTCTTTTTCAGACATATGCAGGACCTTTTGATACTAACACATATGTGACCATAGTGTTTCCTGAGCCAGTAACCACACAGTACGTCAGGTTTCATCCTATATCTTCTCTTCCGGCTATGAGATTCGAAGTACTTGGTATTAAAACTCGAACCATAACGAGTTATCATTAAATGGATTTATTGTTTTATTTAAAAAAAATTATTCATTTAACGAGTTATTATTAAATTGATTTATTGTTTTATTAAATCTCTTTTATTCATTTAACGAGTTATCATTACACTGATTTATTGTTTTATTAAATCTCTTTTATTCATTTATTTATTTACTTGTTTATTAATTTATCTATTAATTGATCTATATATGAATTAATTCATTTAAAATGAAATATTTATTGTACTATAGCATCTAAATAAAAGGGTGAGTCGATTACAATTCTAAATGATTTGAGAATAGAATAGCGCCGTAGTTGTGTTGTCGTAGGATTAGACGATTACAAGTGATAGCAAGATCTTTAAAGATGAATAATCTAATTTCTTTTTTTCATGGAGATTTTATACCATGTTTGTACCGGGTGTTTACCCAATATTAGCTGTATTTGATAACCGAGAGTAGACTTCGCATTTACTGCTATTTTAATGTTTTGTAATCAATAAACCATATCAAATCATATCAAAACAAACTAGGAGTATATTTGCAGTGTTAGGAAGGTAAAAAATCCCCCTGAAACATTCTGCAAAATGATTGATATATGGTTGACACATCTGACTTGTGGTGTTTCGGTCTACAGCCACTAGAGTGTACAGATATTTTGATAATGCGATATAAATCTGTGTTTCATACTATACCACTTACGACTACTACTACTTATAATAATAATACTAATAATGAATTTATCTAGCGCAGTTTGTACGAGTGGAGAATGTATTCCATAATGTGCGGAATAGTTATTTAATCCGATGACCGGGGTAATAGTAATTGTACGCGCTTTGGTACGTTATATATGGTAAAGCGCTATATAAGAACCAGTTATTATCATAAATGTTATTATTGATTGACATGCCTTATACAAATAAAAGTATGTGTCTAATTATAAAGCAAAGGACATTAGTACTTGTTTTCCGTGTGTCTTAATGTTAATATGCAACTGCTGACAGCTATTCGAATGTTATACTAGCCCAGTATACTGAAAGGACTGCAGTTGACTAATAATTATTCCACTATGCTGAAGATACGGCAGTAGTTGATTGTTGGTTATGTGGAAAGTACTGTTATAGTAGTAGCTTGATGTAATTAATAATAATAATAATAATAATATAGAGTATTTGCAATGCGCCAACTCCACATGACTAATGTGTTCGAGGCGCATGGAGAATTAGCATACACAAGTGTATTTAAAATGATGTTAATTCATCAATGTTTTATAACTGTTTGTATTTCATATACTCAATAAGTTGGGCTTTATTTAATAATTGGTATTACTAAGAGGCGGCCCTCCCGGGGGGCAGGGGGGCACAGTGCCCCCCACTTTTTCAGATACCCCCAAAATGCCCCTTTTTACATAGGAAAAGTGCCCCTTTTATTTTGTAAGAAGTGCCCCTTTTACATAGGAAAGGTGCCCCTTTTACTTTGACAAGTGCCCCTATTACTTAGTAAAAGTGCCCCTTTCCCCTTTTCACCTCTGACGAGTGCCCTTTTTATTTTTGACACGTGCCCCTTTTTCTTCGACATGTTCCCATTTTCCTTTGCAATAAATGTTCATTTTCCATTCTCATGAATCTTGAAATTATCTTGAATAAGTGCCCTTTTTAATCTCTAGTAAGTGCCTCTTTTCAGGTACGAGAAGTGCCCCTTTTCACTTTTAATAAGTGCCCCCTTCACCTCTGATGATTGCCCTATTCAAAACTGAGAGGTGCTCTTTTTACTTTGACAACTTCCCCTTTTTTCCTTTGTAAGAAGTGCCCCTTCTCCTTTTAATAACTACCCATTTTTTAAACTCGGATGAGCGCACCTTTCATCTTAACATGTGCCCCTCTTATTTTCTAATAAGTGCCCCTTTTCATTATGATAAGTGCCCCCATTAAAAAGAGAGAGAGCTCCTTCCCCTTCTCATAACTTCCTCTTTCCCTTTCTAATAAGTGCCCCTTTTCCTTATGATAAGTGCCCCCATTAAAAAGAGAGAGCTCCTTCCCCTTCTCATAACTTCCCCTTCCCCTTCTCATAACTGCCCCTTTTAAACATCTGAACGATGCCCCCTTTTCATTCAACAAATGCACATTTTCCTTTATTATAAGTGCCCCTTTTACATTTTCATAAGTGCCCCTTTTCATATCTGGTCAGTGCCCCTTTGCAACTCTGATAATTCCCCTTTTAATAATGATACGTGCCCCTTTTCCTTTCTAATAAGGGACCTATCCCCTTTTCACCTCTTATAAATGACCCTATTAAAATCTGATGGGTGCCCCTGTTCCGTCCACAAATGCCTATTTCCCATTTTCGTAAACGCCTCCTTTTCATCACTGGTGAGTGCCTCTTTTCAAGTGAAAAAATGCCTCATTTTCACCTCTTATAATTATCCTTTGTACTTATACCCGTGCTCCTTTTCTTTTCTAATAAGTGTCTTATCCCTTTCGATAATTGTCCCCTTTTCATGTAATCATTAAACGTGCCCCTTATTTAAAGCGACTAAGAGCAGTTTCCCCCAAAGTTCGCTCGCTGCGCTCGCTCGCATTTAAAGATTATATAATTATGTTACTTATCAAAGGTCTTTTCAGTCTTCCGTTATGAGAATGTGCTTATAACCCCATCACGATTGACTTTTTTCCTCTTTATAAGATGTAATTTTTCGCACTGCGACCTCACAGATCTTTAATAATTTTCTCGCTCGCTTCGCTCGCTCATAAATGCATATTCAAACATCACACCCAACTGTAAAGTTTGATGCTTAAGCGAAATCTTGTATGATGTATGAAGAGAAACAAATATTGAAATCATCCCTGATAATGTAATCACAATGTAGGGGTATATACCAATGTCTAAAAATTGTATATTTTCGCTTTGAGATTTCCCACAGTAGGTGCCCTTTTTTCCAGAAAGTGCCCTTTTTTTTGGTTCCCCCCCCCCCCCCACTTTGAAAGTCGCTCGGCCGCCCCTGGTATTAATTATTCTATATAATTAAAAGAATTAAACTAACAAGAGAGGAAAAAGGAAAGGAACTATTAAAATGACAATGACTTTTGATTTCATAACTCAGAAATGTGGTTCTGTTAGTTATATGGACTTGGTAATTGAACATTTCATCAGTTTGTGTAGAAACTTTAAGAGCCAAAGTGTAAAGCGTATTAATTTTGTTGGAGTTGGCATTTCCAGTTAAACACAAGTTTAACTAGAAAATGCTATGTTCTATAACCGAACATTTTATATCGACATTTCGGGAATTTCACCCAAACATGAATGTATAAATTAATATGGTAGGTTTGATGGACATTAAAGAGTTGAAAATGATTGCATGAGCAAAAGTCAATTAATGGTTTTAAACAATTGGTAGATGTAAGAGGTTTAGCGCCACCTCTTGTCGGAGACATGAAGGGATACTTTTATTCAGACACAGATGATGAATGATGTGTTGAAATTTAATTGCTATTTAATCTTTTTTATTAGATGTGAATTGAACTAAATTAAATTACACTAAATCATCTTTATTGCCTGAGGTGGTTTCAGTTCAAGATACTGCATAGAATTCGTTATATGAAAGATGCTTTGCTAAGATTTGAATTAGTGTAAAGATAACCTAATACCCCCTAATACATTCTGTAATAACAGTGAAGAAACAATTCTACATATATTTTGTTACTGTATTTATTCAAACGAAATATGATCAAAACTTGAGCATTGACTGTTCTGTAATAATGTACATATTAAGTTTAAAATGAAAATAAATTGTTTGGGTTTAATGGAAGTAACTATGGTGCCCTCAACTGCATTATAATTATAGTAAGGAAAGAAACTTTTGCAGCCAAATGCAAACAGTTATTTGCCAGTTTTTTAACATATAATATTAGTGATAAAGTGTTATCATGATATGGAAAAATATATTATGTAAAACAAATCTGAACAAAAAATTATGAAAAAGTGGTTTCCTTTTACAAACTGTTTCTGATTGTTTGTTTCTCCTAAATTATTTTGCTAAGTAGGCTAAATCTGTGATATTTTAAAAATGAACTGCTATTTGAAACTGATATCTATAAATGTAAGTTCTTATCATATTTTGAATGGCCAAGAATATCATTTTGAAATTCTGCATGTACATATTTCTTCTTGTATACGTATTATGTATGTAAATGATATTATTCAATAAAGAAACCTGGTGGAAGGAAAACAAAATCTGTATTGCCTGACCTGTATAGCATAAAGGCCTGTTCAGATATGGCGCGGTGAAGCGCCGCAAGATTTAGAGCCGTCATGTAAATGAACAGCAACTGCGGGCCGCATAGGACTTGAATGTATTCACTGAGCAATTTGAAGAGCATTACATTTTGCGACGTTATATATACGTGTATTCGTGCATGATTTGGTGAAGTGTAGAATTGGAAACAGACTTGAAACTTGAAATAAATGTTACGTCACGGCTTGACGCTCATGCGGGATCTCGATCTTTGTCAACTTCATAATAAATAGCCTCGATATCTGATAATTGTACGAGATATTCGGCTAGCCTTAAATAAATGTGTCAAAACTCAGATTAAAAACATATTATAACCCCCCCCCCCCCACCCCCTTCCCTCTCTCTCTCTTTATCTAAATCCCTTATCTACATCTCCCCCTCTCATTCTCTCTCCGTCCCTCTCCTCTATCTCGATTTTCCCCCTTTTTTCTCCATCCCTCACCTCTCCCCATCTCTCACTTGCTATCTCTCTAAATCCCTCACATCTAACTTTTTCTCCGCCCCTCTCTTTCATCTCAATTTCTCTCTCTCACTCTCACTCTCTCTCTCTATCTCTCTCTATTTCTCTCCATCGCTTACCTCTCCCTATCTTTCTATGTACCTCTCCTCCCCCTTATAGATTGGTATATGTACAAAGACAATACATCCATAAGTATAATTTATACAATATCGTTATTTTTCATCTACTGCGGGATTCACCAAATAGAGAAAGTTGTTATGATATCAATTTTCACATAATGTTGCATCAAACCTTATTTGACTCTATACACATAGACTAGGTTGACAGAAGTATGGCAAAGCACTGCACGT